GCTGGGAGACATTGCCAGGTGAAGGGGCATAAATCGAAACTTAAAAAAAAAAAAAAAAAAAAAAAAAAAAAAAAAATATTAAAAAAAAAAAAAAAAATTATAAAAAACAAAAAAACAAAACAAAAAAAAACGGGATAACGAAACCGTCCAATTGAAAACGGAATCCGCCATGGGCGGTCGGATACCGGACGGTTAAACGTTTGACTACAGCACTACAAATTACCGTTAATAAGTAATAAACTACATTTATTCGTAGTCAGGGGCAGATCCAGGATTTTGCAAAGGGGCAAAATATTCTTGCAATTTGCTTACCAGCAAAAAGACAGAAAAGGATTATAAAGTATATGTAAGTTAGAAAATTAAGTAAAAAGTTCATCGCCTCAAAAGGGGGCAAAACATATTTGGATTTGTGTACTGCAGGTAGTCCACTTGGGTTTCAAATTGTGGGGAGGGGGCACGGGCAGGAGCCGATTGTACCCCCCCCCCCCATAAAATCTGCCAGTGTTTCTAGTTTCCTACATATACATGACCGCCCATTTGCCAATGATTAAAGGTAAAGGCCAGTATTGGAAATGCCCCAATTTCAAAAAATGAAATGGAAGCTCTTATTACCAATCATGTGAAAGAATATGTTTTGAATATTACATGATGATACAAATTTTGACGGGAAACCGCCTATCTCTTGCCTGTTGAGAGATATGAAATGCATGTGTCGCGCACGTGTGTGTAGTCCCATATATACATCTTTCTGTGTACAGTGCTTCTAACTTTATGAAGACTTGGCCAAATTTCTTATCAGTTTGATGATTCCAGAACCTTGCAGTACATCTATGCTAGATGATCAACCTTTTCTGATCGATTTTCACAACGTTTCTTTCACAATGCAATCGCATGACCATAACTGGTCTTTAGCTTTCATAAGATTTTCAATTAGTTTTCATCCTCAAAGAAGCAACAAATTTCCAAAAGTCAGAAAGATTCAAATTAAAGTTGATTTAATTTGTTATTGAAAATTGTTAGTACTTTGCTTTCTCTTCTCTTGAATTACTTAAAGGGGGTGTAGCATGGCAAATACTTGTTAATGCCACCTACGACTTCTTTTGGACAACTGCATGTAAACGAATGGATTTGATTAACGGCCATCGCGCGCTAGTGTTCACGAAACAGATCAAAGTTCTCCTCACGCTTCGGTTTTGTGTATGTTGCACGCACATGAATACTGCGGTCGCGTCGTCTATAGTCGTATTATACACGATTGGCCCCGAGACAGGCCACCCCCTTTAATTGATGTACATGTATGCCTGCAATTATACTACGTTTCTTACGATTGCGATAGACGAGGGTTCTGTGCGAGCCCTACAAGCAGGGTTTTATGCTATCCTTTATTTTCTTCAATTCATACTCCATATTCAACCGTTTACCGATATAAAGCCAGATTAAGCTTTTCAGGTTGATTTGTATACATTCTACCTATACACAAATTATGTTTTCAGGTGAATGGTACGCTTTAAATCTGCAGGGGGAGTATTCTGCATTCAAATCCAAATGCAAATAAACAGAATATCTGGGATGTGTGCCTTGTGAAGCCATATGACAAGGCTGCTGTAATTTGTAAATGAAGCTTGCAATAACCTTTGGTTTCGCATGTAAATAATGGTATCTTTCAGTTTCTGTTTATTAGTTATGTTCACACGACATACTGTAACTTTAACTTTATGTCGTGGAGGGTGTTTCACAGAAACTAACATCAACTTAAAGATAAACTTGAGTTCTGGTAAAAAAAGAAAATGATTTCTCACAGAATCTAACGAAACTTACACTGAATGTTCAAGATTACAAATAAATGTCATGTGCCAAACAATTTTGGAAGAAAATGTATACTGGCTGAGTAATGAGCATAAAAAGATAAGGAAATCAGGGTAGTACCAGCCCCGACACCATGTGTGTTGTCCCATATACAGCTTTCTGTGTAAGTGATTGTTACTTTACCAAGACTCTGCCAAATTTATGATGATGTTGATGACTCCAGAACCTTGCATTACACACCATTACTTACATGCTATATGATAAACTTTTCTGATCCATTCCACACTTTTTGTTTCACAATGCAATCGCAATACCAGTTTATCTTTAAGTTGGACTTGAACTATGGCAAGCCATACTGGTTTTTCTAACCATTAGTCTCTCAATTAAATGATCTTTACATAATATTTGTGTAAATCTGTAGATTTGTGACCATGATTTGTACGTCCCTTGAGAAACCAATGCCACGAATGATAAGAGGAACTAGTGGCATGAACGGCCTGCCATAGTTAAGTCGACTTTAGTTGACTTAAATCAACTTAAATTGATTTTAGTCTCTGTGAAACACTTCCCTGGTTGCTAACTTTAAAGTTATCTTGAAGTTGCGGACCGTGTGGATGCGCCTGTGGTTTCCAAACTTTTATAGTTTACTCAAAGTTGTAAACTTTGAGTGATATTATGTTTAGGGTGCTAACCCCAAGCAGGGGTCCTCAAAGATATGAACCATATAGACGCTATTAAACTTCAAGGTTAAGACAGCCTTTAGTCGTAATGACTGCTTGCCCGGCTTTAGAAATACTTTGAATACGTTGAGTCGGTCTCGTATGAGCCCTCACCGTTAAAGTATCATGATGAAAAGCTTCAAGATTTCGCAAACTCTAAGTTTAAAACCATGGTGGTCCTGTATGAACATACATAGTTGGTTGTCTATGTTTGTATCGATCTAATTTAGTGGAGGGCATTAGAGATTAAAAGAGATTTCAAACCACACACGTTATGCCTTTGAAATCAGTGAGCATTGTCAATCACACTGAAGGCTAGTTCTCAGGTCTTCATGAGGAAATTAACTAACGTACAATTTTGTAGCCTTTAGTAAGAGTTAGCTACATTAACAACATTTAAGAGAAAGGATTTTTTAATAGAATGCAGCCCCTCCCCCCCCTTTTGTTATAAATGCAATTGTGGAATTAGACTAGGTGGAGGGGGGGGGGGGGGGGTTGGAATCGCTAGGTGGTGTTTATATTGAGAGGCCAGGCTATGTACATGTATATAGTCCAGATGATAGCCATAAAACTAGATATCTTTCAGTTGGCTATGTACTGTTCAAATAATTGAGGGTTGAATACATATACATGACAAAATTTGTACTTATCGGTAAGCAATTTTTTCTGAAGGCCTAATCAAAGCCTGATGAGCTTTGTTTGATATTACTTTGGGCTGGTACTGTACTGTGAGCTATACAAATAGTGATCGCAATTGAAGCGCAATGCAGCCCGCGAGCCAGTGAATCATCGATAGGCATCTCTTGAAAGGTACCTTGTATTGAGGTTACCTTCACTTCAGGGTTCAATATATTTGGGGGTTCTGTTAAATTAAATCAAATGTTGTGACAATATCAGAAATCATAAGCTCTGATGCCTCTGAAACACAGTTCGTTTAATTTGGGCATGCATTTGCGTTTATCCATGATCGCGCTGAAGATCCATACGTACATGTGCGTGCACCGGTACAAAGCGATTTGCTTGTACAGTGTACAGTATTGTACTGGCATTCGATTATAACCCAAAACGTCTGCGGTATTTAACTTTCAAGAATCTGGACTCCTCACGAAATTCACAAAAGTGTCTTGCTAGCAAAATATTATCTGGTTTTAAAGAATTGCATTCCTGCTGATGTACTCACTGTTGGAGGATAAAATCTTAAAAGAATATTGACCACTGTCATGTACACTACTGTACCTGCATTTATTATCTATTTGATGAAGGGATCACTTGGTACAAGGCCAATACAATCAGGACATATCTATTGATACCAAAGTCCAGAGTGGCAGTGCTGCTGGGCAATTTAAAGGAGATTACCTGGGGGGTGTTTCATAAAGCTGTTTGTAAGTTACGCATGACTTTACGAATGACTTATTCTTAAATATGAAAAGCCAAATGGGATGCTCAATCATTATTGACTGCATCACCTAAAGTTGAAATGTGCAGATGTAGATTAACATTCTTATTATAAATTTATAACAAACATATTAAAGCCCAACTGTCCTACTTGAAGCTACTTGCTCCCTCTATATAGAAAACTTCCCCAATTGGTGCCCGTTGGTCCCCCATGATCCTCTATTTCTTATGTTATTTGAGAGCTGAGTTGATGAGATAGCCACCTGTCAGTCACCTCGCTGTGTGGTCTTATCCCTCCTAGCCACACTAGTGTTGATAAGCTTTAATGCAAAGTATATTTTTTGCCATAATTTAAGTGAGGTTATTGGAAATATAGTCACAATTTGTTAAAACATCAGGACAAACTTTGGGCATCCTATCTGGCACTTCATATACAAGTCGTTCGTAAAGTCATACGTAACTTTACAAACAGCTTTATGAAACACCCCCCTGGACCCCATTTCACAAAAATTGTCATCAGTGACAAATGACAGTTTTTTGTTATAAGCTAGTGAAATCCTTGCTTCTGATTGGTTATTAGCAGACTTGTCACTGATTTTGGTCATTTCTCATTGAAAAAAGCCTTTGTGAATCAGGTCCCAGGAGCCTTTTACTAACGAACTGTATTATCTTTTATTTGGGATGATCATGGCAATTGTCATAACAGACTCACATTGCACAGAATAGTAACTTATTGGATTGGTGCTTGTGCAGACATCATCTGTTATAACTTTATCCGAACACATTCAGCTTTGAGCAGACTATTGACCAATCACTTGCCCTAATTTTGATCTGTTATAACTGTTCATTTTATTTTTACTAAGTAACCAAAAATATAACATTGTTTTTCAGTGAGAATACCACCCCTGGCCATGCAATAAAAATAAGATTAAAAGGAAACTATCTACATGTAGAAACACTTTAGAAAGGTTGATTATAATTATAGCGCATGGGAGTTGGTGTATATGAATGAGACTAAGTTATATATATTATTATTATTATTATGGTATTAATTAGTTGTTTTGTTCTTTCTTTCTGTAGGAGTATCTTTGGCAATGGCCACAACCGCTGTACCGACCACAACCGCTGTACCGACCACAACCGCTGTACCGACCACAACCGCAGCACCGACAACCACTGCAGCACCGACAACCACCGCAGCACCGACAACCACCGCAGCACAGACAACCACCGCAGCACCGACCACAACTGCTGCACCAACCACTACAGCCGCTGCACCGACCACCACCGCTGCACCGACCACCACCATGGCACCGACAACAACGCCGATGCCGGTGGTAACAACCTGGAGCCTGAAGGACCCCAAGAATGCCACGTGTATCTTGGAACAGATGCAGGCCGACTTCTCCATCATGTACGAGATGGTCAACGCAGAGAACAAAACTGTCCAAGTAAGTTTCTGTCATACCTGGGGGATGTTTCACAAAGATCTGAAGTCAAACTTAACTCCAAGTTGGACTTAAAAATTATGGAGAACCATTTGTAGTCTAAAAATAAAATATATTCAAAAGTGAAAATTCAAGTATTACAGACTTTTTATAAATTCCACATCAAGAACATGAAATGTCCTTGATAATAGAAATAAATATGAATGATTTGAGTCAACATTTTATGCCTTTTAAAATAACTTTTACAAAATATTTTCATAGATGCTAACGGCTTTCCATAATTGTTAAGTCCAACTTAGGATCTTTGTGAAACGCCCCTCTGTCATCACAAACCCTTGGGGGTGTCCCTGGAGTGGTCCTACGACACAAGCTCCAGCGTCGATTGCTCTGTGGTCAATATCCTGTCGTAAATTTTAACGCTAACCCTGGCCTGAACACTACCCTAACCCCAACCCTAGCCTTGAGCCTAGCATAAAAGCCAATTGCATCGTTAATCCTTACCCTTTGATGGAAAAAGCCAGGACGGATTTGTGCCAAAGCATAAGTGAGAGTCCTAGCACTGCTGGACCATTGGCAATGGGGTTGTTGATTAGATTTGCTGACAGTTTAGTGCAAATGGGTATTCAGATTCTCAAATTTCTTGTCAGAAGTGTTCCTAAACTTTTCAAGTTAAAAAAAAAATGGCCAGCGGTTTAATAGTGCGGTTCAAATACAAGGCTCTAAAAGTTTCTCATTTGTTGATAATTTTATTAAATGTTTGAGGCCCCATCCCCCTCCAGAAAAATCACCTTACAGGTATCGTTATCCTGTTTAAAGTTATCCATCCTTTAATCTGCCCGTCCACATGCTCATACCTGTCTTTTAGCTCTGATTAAACAAGCTATACAGTGATTATTATTTTGAGTCGGAAGAGTTATATTTACCATGCTACATATGAGTGCCTTTGCTAATCTGTGCATCCCCAACTTTTTCTCTCTACATCCAGTCCACGATCCCCTTCATGCTACCCCAGGGAGCAATGGTCGATACCATGAACAGCGCTTGTGGCGACAACGAGACCATGCCAAAGCTTACTCTGATCTTTGACGAAGCTCTATACGGCAACATGTTTGAGCAGTTTTTCACCATGTCCGCCAACAACTCTGCCCTGGCCAACATCACTCTGGCTCTTAATCACACTGAAGTTTTGTTCCCCAACAGTACCCAAGCAGGTAAGAATATGCAGTGGCCAATTTGCTGAAGAAACTATAGAGATGGGGCTGCGTGATGTTCCAATCCTCGGAACAATTGCAGCAGTGAATTATGAATTATATGAGTGTACGCTATTGATTGTATTAGCGGTAACCAATTATCAGTTGATCGATATCACGCTGTACAATTTCTCTTTCATCCTGTCAAAACATCAAATTCTATAGTTCTATGAAAATGAAAAGTTAATATATGATTTTCTATTTCTCTTTTTCTCTTGAATTCTATTCTCTATCACTCTCCAACTAACTCTTTCTCTTTATATCTGTGTCCTTCCTCATACATGCCAACTGTTCAGATTAAAGAGGAACATTCCTCTTTTTGGGAGAAGATAATTATCATTTTAATGCAGGTGTTCCTCTTCCTGTACAAATTTGTCTGTAGTATTGAATAGGAGAGTTAGGATTGTTCCTCTTTTTTTTTTAAATAGCATAATTTGTACAGATTTCTGATTTTCAAATGTTGGCATGTATGCTTCCTCCTTTTCCTCATCCCCTCTTTCCCATCCTCCCTCTTAGCCATTTTGATCTCTCCCCCTCCCCTTCCCCCTTCCCCCTCCCCCTCCCCCTCCCCCTCCCCTTCCCCCTCCCCCTCCCCCTCCCCTTCCCTCTCTCTCTCCCTCTCCCTTCTTCCCTCTCTCTCCCGTCCACCCTCCCTCTCTCTCACTGACTCACTCTGACACACTCTATTGCATTCTCCCTTATGTTTTTGCTCTTTAAATACAACACACAGAATCTAAGCATTTGGTTCGGCCAATTATGCAACACCTGACCTATGCCCTCTTGCATAGTAAAACTGCATCTTTCACATCATGCAATAGTTTTTATTATATCCCTTATCGTAAGATTGTTGCATTAGGTGTGTACACAACAAGAAAAAGAATGGTTTGACTGTAGAAAGACGTTTCCTGCCGACCAGATCGAAATAGTTCATTTTTATTGATGATGTCACGCATAGTACCCTTTTTCCCTAGGGAAAAAAGGTACTCTGCATGACGTCACAATACAAAAACGCATATTCTTGAACTATGCGTTTTCCCAGCGAGCGCGTACATGATTTCAAATGCCTTTGCGCGGTTAACCCACGCGGTGTCACGGCGCTAGCTCAAGCCATATGCAATTTACGCTGTGCGATAACTGCACTACACTAGCGCCAGCTAAACATTTTTACATCCTTCAATGTTTCATTTGAGCCGTGCAATTTTCTTTATTTCTTTTCGATCTGAATGTAGATGTGAATGCGAGTATAAGGTTCATGTTATTACAGAAGTGTACAAGGAATAATACAGATGGAAGGGATATAAAACAAATATAAAATGACTCATTCTCGGAACAAGCTAAAACTATTCGCACTCAGGAACATCATTAGTACTTTTCTCCTCGGGAGAATAGTACTAGTTGATGTTCCTTCGATGCGAATAGTTTCAGCTAGATCCTTGAGTGTCATTGTATATTTGTATACCATCACTCTCATAACCTTTGAATATTACTATACTACTCCTCTGACCAGGCAAATTGGTGATGTACTCCGCCACCCTTCCCATCAATACCTTCAAGGTCAAGGACGGTCAGTCTTACCTCTGCAACTCACTCCAGGATTTCAAGGTTGGCACCAACGCCAATGTGACCTTCTCAAAGGTCAAGATTCAAACCGCTGACATCGACAACGACAAATTCGGAAATGGTAAGAGGGGTTATTCTGAGAAAGGGTGGGGCATTGTTTAGAAATGTGGTAGCTTATACTTCAGGATATAAACTGTAAAGGCCTATTCAGACTTAAAGCAGTAAACAGTAAAAAAGAAATTTGCTGGGTAAAAGTAATTGAGATTTCTGTCTCTTTTTAACTCACAAATTATTGAGGGGCCATTAATGCATGCATTACTTTTGTCTCGCCTGCCTAGTTAGAGCGAGACAAAGGCCCTTTTCCAATTGCAGCAGCAGCAACACTTTGTCATTCCCCTATAGCCAGGCCCCTGTTAGGAATTCGCTGTATTCTTTGTGAGTGGTTAGAAGTTGAACCGTGTGCAGTGGTACACCTTCTCATACCGGACAGGCAAGAGAGTTACGGTGATAAAAATGAACCTTTTCCGGTTCCAAGCACATGTGACAATTAATGTACTGTGAAATCTGTTGTAGCAACCATACCGGCTTAGAAAGATTACCTGTCTATATAGACCACGTTCCCTGTTTCCCTTGCATGGTGTTTCTCAGTGATATGTGTAGTAATATAAAGAAACCTGTACAGATGATGTCTGCACAAACACCAATCCAATAAGTCTACACGTCTTTTAAAATCTCTTCCTTGTCTCCCTTGAGCTTTGTTTATATACAGATTTCAATTTTTTATTATTATTATTAATTATTATTTGTTCGGAAATTCACAAAAAATATAATAATTCAAAAATGTAACTTTGAGTAAACAAACATTAGGAAAATGTCAATAATGCACATTCTTCGTGGAGGTGCATCGGTTGGCTGCCGGGAGAGAGGAAAGCAAACTAAATCACTGTAACCGTAATGGTCCCTCTTTCCTCTTCTTTATAATGGATTAAAAAACAAACTATTAATTTTTTTCTTCTTCATGTTTCTTCCTTGTTCAATGTCATCGCAGTTTCCCAGTGCCCCCAGGACACGCCCTCCACATCTCCGGCACCCACTAGCAGCATCAAGCCAACGCCCACGCCCACGCCCACGCCCACGCCCACGCCACCACAGAGCTGGAACATCACCGACGCCAACAACAAGACCTGTATGCTCATTGTAATGTCCCTGGAGTTCAACATCAGCTACAAGACTTCCAAAGACAAGGTCAGATTTTCAAACTGTTTTCAAACCCTTTAAAGCCCATCTGTACTAGTTTACCAAAGGGATTAGACCACCCTGCAAGGTCACTGACGGGTGGTTATCTCATCTAATCAGCTTTCACTAAACATAAGAAAAAGAGGATCATGTGGGACCAATGGTCACCGATTAGGCATTGTTTGCTATATAGAGGGCGCAAGTAGCTATAAAGTAGTGCAGTGGGGCTTTAAGCGGGACTGCACTACTTGTAGCTACTTGCGCCCTCTATATAGCCAACAATGCCTAAACGGTACCCGTTAGACCTCCATGGTTCCCTTTTTCTCATGTTAATTGAGAGCTGGGCCCGTTGCATAAAACTTACCATTGATGGTAACTTTGCCATCAATGGCAACTACCATGGTAACGGCTCAACAGCCAATCAAAATCAAGATCGTAGTTATCATTGATGGCAAAGTTACCATCAATGGTAAGTTTTGTGCAACGGGCCCTGATTTGATGAGATAACCACCTGTCAGTGATCACACAGGGAGGTTTAATCCGTCCTGGCCACAATAGTGCAGATGGGCTTCAACTTGCAATTCATTGGTTGTTGTATCTCACCATTTTTTTGCGATTTCACAAGAATAGGCCAGTTTACTAACATTTTCAAATTTGTGCATACTTTTTAAACAAAGGTTCTTGACAGCCTGAAAGCTTGTCAGAGGTTTGCCTGACATAGCAGCTAATGTATGCAGATTGGGTTCCAAGTATTGTAGTTCTTTCATTAATAATAATATGTTAATGGAATAACTCGTCACTGGGTCTCCAGTTTGTTTGTTTGTTTGTTTGTTTAAAAAAAGGCTCATTGGAAGGATAGAAAACATTGACAAAGAGACAGACATGTAGTTTCACCGTTCTTGTGTTAACATAAAAGGACACCATGTCAATATAGATATCGGCAGAGAGTCTGTCGATGTCAACGATGATGGCACTAGTAGTTTAAAGATAAAGTTGAGTTCTGGTCATGCGATTGCATTGTGAAACAAAAGGTGTGGGATGGATCAGAAAAAGTCGATCATATAGTATTGGTGTGTACTGCAAGGCTCTGGAGTCATCAAAATCATAATAAATTTGGCCCAGTCTTGGTAAAGTAACAAGCACTGTACACGAAATATGGGACTACACAAATGGTGTCAGGGCCACCAACCTTGATTTCCTTATCTTTCTATGCTCATTACTCAGCCAGTACACATTTTCCACAAAAATTGTTTGGCCAATAGACATTTATTTGTAATCTTAAACATTCAGCGTAAGTATCATTTGATTCTGTGAGAATTCATTTTCTTTTTTTACCAGAACTCAAGTTTATCTTGCATCTTTAACTTGCATCTTTTATTCCTTATTAACAGGTCAATGTGACTACCGTGAAGATCCCCTCAGATGCCGATACCTCCCAGTCAGAGTGCAACAGCAACACCACCTCCAAGTTCGTCCTGACGTTCATGAAAGGCTGGAAGCTGGAGCTGGACTTCACCCTCAACGCCACCGCCAAAGAATATAACAATACCAATATGATGCTCACCTACTCGTACAGTGACTTATACGACCCTGCAAAGAATGGTGAGTGCTGCCATTTTATTGAAGATAGAGAGTTGGGGTTAGGGTTAGGGTTGTCATTGTGTTTCGGGTTATTTTTCAGGGTCAGGGTTAGAGTAAGGTATAGTGTTGAGTGTGCTCACCTACTTCTACAGTCAGTGACTCTGTAGATCCTGGAAAGAATTGTGAGTGCTGCCATTTCATTGAAGATGGAGAGTTGGGGTTAGGGTTGCCATTGTGTTTCGGGTTAGTTTTTAGGGTCAGGGTTAGGGTTAGGTATAGTGTTTAGCAAAGATCACCAACTACGACGACAGTCACTCTGTAGATCCTGCATAGAATGGTGAGTGCTTCAATATCATTGAAGATGGAGAGTTAGGGTTAGGGTTGCCATTGTGTTTCGGGTTAGTTTTTAGGGTCAGGGTTAGGGTTAGGTATAGTGTTTAGTGAAGATCACCAACTACGACGATAGTCACTCTGTAGATCCTGCATAGAATGGTGAGTGCTTCAATATCATTGAAGATGGAGAGTTAGGGTTAGGGTTGCCTTTGTGTTTCGGACTTTTGGGTTAGTTTTCAGGGTCACTCTGTCATTTTCTTTTCTGTGGTCCAGTTGAAAAGCCTCCGGACTGTAGCTGCAGTGATATAATAATAAATAACAATAGTGGCTACTTGGCAAGGCCTTAATCTGCATTAGCCAAAACTTGACTGGGGTGAGGTTAAGGGTTACCTGTTCAAGTTCAAGTTCAAGTTTTATTTCCACATGTGGTTCATAAAAAACAACAAGTATACATACATGTTCAGACGTATAAAAATACACAATTAACAAACAATAATATTAAGAGAAACAAAAAGCGAACAAAATCTAAGAACAACTAAATACATGTAGGCAAGGGTTAATTTCTAAAATGCCAGTTCTGTAATGGCAGCCTTGCTAAAGCCGGGGCAATCATAATGGAGCGGCACAAGCGACAATATGCTAGACATGAGCACATTGAAACCACTATCGTTATCATTATTATTCTCTTTGCCTTTCAGGTTCGGCTAACGCCTCAATAGGAAACACCGGGATCCACGCGCCGCAAGGAAAGTGCTACAGCTGCGAGGCCGGAGCCGAACTAAAGGCAAACAATGTCACCTTTATTCTCAAAGATGTCAAGATTCAGCCGTTTGCATCGAAGTCGAATAACACTTACGGTGCAGGTAAGTTGTCCATTGTTGGTACTTGCCAACATGTGCTTGATTTCACCTCATAAGAAGTTCAAAAGAATAACGAGTTCTGGGCGAGGTGAAAAATAATGTCCCTCGAAAGGATGGCTCTTCAAATGCCCTCATTTTTCGAAATATAAAAAGTAAAAGCCAAAGATTGCATACCCTACACACTTTCATGCCTCATTTTTGAGGAAATTGAGAGGATAAGAAGATATTCAAGTTTTAAAGTTGCAAGCGATCGTGCACAAAGTGGCAACTTGTGAGGGGTTTTTCACGCACCTCTTCTCCTTTCTCTGTACTAAGAATGTCCATTCTCTCAGAAGAAAATATGAAATCATACATGCACCCTAGATAGAATTATTCCATTTATGATTTTACAAAGCCCCATTACCATTGAAATTGTACTTCAGTAACATCCAAGAAAATAGGAATTTATGAAATTTTCAGGGCATCTTTTTTTCCTAGGATTAAAAAACAACAACTCCACCTTGATTTTAGGGTGAACATCCCCTTTAAACATCACTCTTATAAACTTCCATGTGTTTGTAATGAAAAAAATTCTGTTCAGAGCTACAATAATAGCCATCATTATTTTTTATTGTATCTTGCAGAGGCGCCTTGCGATGCTGATAACAAGATTAACAACATCGTTCCAATCGCGGTGGGTTGCGCCCTCGCTGGGCTGGTCATCATCGTCCTCATCGCCTACCTGATCGGACGTCAGAGGAGTTCGAAATCTGGTTACGAATCGGTCTAATATGGATCGAGACGGGGACCAAATTAATTCACAGTCAAGATTTCTTCATCTCGGCCATCAGCCGTGCGTGTAGCAGGGATTGTTCATACCTTTAAACCAGATTATCTTGTACCTCGTAGCGTGTTAGGTGTTGGCAATAGCTTACTCTATTAGGCGTTAGCCAGGTTCTGACCCGTTTTAAAAATCTAATGTGAAATGGTCAGTGGTGTAAGACATCGGGGCGTTCACACCAATCATTTAATCTCGTCGTGAGGATTACAATGTATCGGAAAGTGACTTAAACATTATCTATGTCAGCACCTCTTTGCTTGCCGGGTTGAAATAATCAAGTGTGAAAGGGTCAGTAGTTTGAGACATGGGAACATATTTCATGCTTATTGTTCATTCCCTTTATCCCACTCAAGCAGTTGAAGAATGATAATCTCACTGCATCTCTGGTCTTCTGTGTATCCTTGCTTTGTTCATATGATTGGGGAGTAGAATGACAGATAATAAGAATGTGAACACATCGGTTTGTTCCGATATGAAGAAATCTTGATGGGGTGGGGGAAGTAGTTAAGGGAAACAACGTCCCCTCCCTCGCGTGTCTCTCTTTCTGGAGTTGCCAGTAGTTTTCTCATAGTGTGAAAGTTTTGATATGAATCTCAGATATATTTTTCTTGCTTTATGTATAATTGTGCCCAGCCCCTCCTTTTGAAAAGAGTAGATCTCTGATAGACATCTCTAGTACTATCTTCTCACAGACTTAGATTATATTATTCATCTTTTTTTCCTTCTATTTCATGGTGTTCACGGGTCTCTGTCTTTTCTTCATGTTGATTTGAATTACAAATGACGGTTTACTGAAAAGATGGAATATGCGCTCAAGTGGTGCCTGAAATGGAGTTCAGATTCAATGCTCAAAATTCATAAAACCAGTCGTAACCAATTACATACATGATTAATTGATATTATAACATTGTTTGTGTTCACATTTTGTGTTTACGTTTTGTTAATGCCTTTGATATACCCTTGCCTGGCAACTCCAGAAAGATTTAAATCTTTTTTTTTTCAATTATAGAAAATTGGGTTGTATACAATTTAGATCGCACTGTTGTGTGTAATGTAATATTGGGGATGAGTTATAAGTGTGTATGTGGCAGAATCAATCTATTTTCGTATCAGTTCAGGGCGATGTATTATAAAGCCTTTTGATTGATTGTAAGGTTCATATTGAGCATAAGTCTATGGCTCATCGTGTATTGATCAAACTTAAGATCAATCATAACTCTTTATAATACGCGGCCCCGGTGTATGAATATTGGCTTATGAATGTTTATTACTTTGGTGTGTCGATATAGATATAATATACTCCTATATTTTTGCCATACTTCATTAACGGTACATGTAGCATACTCTGTCACTGTTTCTCATTCTCTTTAGTTTTTTGTTTATAGTAGAAACAAGGTACTTGAGGATTCTCCTCAGCATTCAGCCATTAATACCAATGTCAGTGGTGAAGAGCCTGCTCAGTTAGGACCTGTTCACACACTCATTGCAAAAACTGCTCCAGTTTATCATGCTGGGTCATTTTTAAGTGTGTGTGAATGGAGAACGGGGATGAATAAAATGTAGGGCCATTGTGACATCACAAAGCCAATCCCAAATTATGCGTAGTACACATTTTGCATTAAATGCTTGCCTGCATGCAGCTTATTCAGACCTGGGTATGAAAACCATGTACCTGCCAATCGAGGCCACCAACATAATTGGCTCAAGATTGCTTGGGAGCTGTCTTTGACTTCGGATAAAATAGTCGGCCACACACTTCAACTGAATACTGTTTTATTAAAGCCACAAGCCGAGTCAAATATGATTGTTTCTGCTGTAAGTATTGAATCGAATACAGGCCCTGGTCCCTACCTGAGCAGCTCTTTCCTGTACCTGGGATTAACTGTTCCAAGAACTAGGAAAAACCTCACGTTATTGGCTAAAGTGCTAGGAGACCATCACCATAATGTTAACTAAAATGTACCAATTTGCAATTTTATGTGAGAGACATTCTATGTTATAGTGTATCGTCAATGATGTAATGTTTATTATTTCAAAGAAATGGTATTACTAATTGTGTAGTTAATATAGTTATGTTTTTTCTGCATCGAGATATTGCAATGAATGTATTGAATCAAATTCAGTGCAGGATTGCAAATTCAATTATTGCCTTGATATTTGATAAAAGGGGAATTTGAAATTTGGGGTGTCTTTTTTTGTTCATAAGCAAGTGGTGAATTAGCAATAAAAGCAGCTGCAAGAAATACGATGATCAGACTTTTTGTGAATATGTTGTGTGGCAGGCAGAAGGGCGTTAGGCATATGTTAGGCACTTGCCAATTTTGCCAATTTTTGGATAATGTGCTTCAAAAGCTGTTACCACTCTATAAATGTTTAACCATCTTAGAACCTGATGTGAATTTCTCTCTTTATGGACTAATAACGAGTGAAAAGGGATGAGCACATTATTTTAAAGATGGAGGGCACTATAACCCTAATGACCTGCCTAATGTTTGCGTTTAGCAGACAGGCACAATATGCTAACGCCCTTCTGCCAGCCGCATGACGATTATGGGATCAAATGTACAGAATGCATGGAATAGGCACCCACCATTTGTCTTTGTATCAAAATAAACCTGTGTAGTTATGGACATAACATCATCCTTGTTTGGTACACATAAGAAGACCTTACTTTCAAGGGCTTTGTCGTGACTGCTCCGAGTGCTCGTTTTCATTGAGAAAATGTCTTTTGGAGTGTTCTTGCTAGCGATGACTTGTTGCGGTGAGAAAATGGAAAGGGAAAAAAATTGTTGAAATAATATTAATATGAAATTTTGTATGAAGTAATGTTAAAGTTGTACAAATTTGTTACATTTGTTGTTCCATTATGTGTCATGCCAGAGAATAGTTATAGGTATAGAAATGAAGGGAAGAGATTGGTTTATTTGTCATAAATTAAGAGATGAATGGTGCACTGCAGACATAGATAAAATGGTTTATTATTTTTTACTTTGGAAATATATGGTAGGTGGTGAGGATAACAACAACTCACTGCATTGATTTAATTAACCTATGCTGTATTTTTTTAAGTCTACAGTGCTTTTAGTCGGGTGACGGGTTCAACAGTTAGCATTCCATCTAGAATCAAAGTCAAAATATAACCACTGAAACCAGGGGGGTGTTTCGCAAAGCCCTTTTTTCAATGACAAATGACAAAAATCTGTTAAGAATCTGCCGATAACCAATAGGAAGCAAGGATTTCACTTGCTTAAAACAAAAACTGTCATTTGTCACTGATGACAAGTTTTGTGAAACTTCCCCCGGGACTACAAGCCTACATTCATTGTAGGTCTAACTGAAGTATCTTGATGATGATGTTTATGATGATTACAGTGATGATGATGTTTATGTTGATGTAGTTATTAACTTTTAGTTATTTGCCAGTGAAGGAATAGTCATTACAATAATTAGCACGTAAATCCTACATGCACGCATCTGTTACATTTGTCATTCATGTCGAAGTGCTGTGATATTTACAGTTTAGCATACAACATACATGTACATCGATCTACAAACCGATTACTTATAACATTTTGTTACAATATGAGTATTTTTATCACAATCAATGTACTTTCTATACTGAATGGACACTTAAGAGCTGATTGGAAGACTAAGAATGTGAAAGTAAAACAATTATCTTTAAAAAAGAAATATATGTCACAAATCAATTCATAGTGCACAATAGTCTCTGAATTGCATTGAATTATGAGTCCTTAGTTGCCACAGATACCGGTAATGTTAATGTAAATAGCTAAAAATCAAACATCTGATCAGTTTCATAAGTCAACAAGACTCTGATACGAGTTAAAATATAACTTCTTGCTCTTTATGATTTCATTTTGAGATGTAATGTGCATATTGTGTGTTCGGAATCAGAAAGGCACTAAGTCATACACATGTACTTGAGCATAGAGTTAACGCCCTTCCGGCTCCAAACACACAATATACCTTTAATTTGAATGGGGATACGGGCTACATGTAGATTGTACGCAGCTAATGTATATATATGCTTACACTTGATTCCCAAGTATCATTGGAATATATATATATATATGATTATATGCTTCAATTTCTGGACTATCCAACGTTTAACAGAACTGCAGTAGGCTATTCACAATGTAGAAACAATGTAGCAGCAAATAGAGAAAGAAAAAGAAAAGAAATGTTGATATTTGATGCATTGATGTTGTAAGATATTTCTTCTTTTACTAAATGTTATATGCAAATGATTGAAATACTCTGCGTCGTCTTTCAGTGATGAAACTGCGGGACGATGCGGGATGTTCCCATTGAAATTTGAGTGTAATTGTAGTGTATTTAATGCGATGTCTACTACTTGGTAAAGGTCCTTTTCAGAGCTGACTTAAATCCCTTCCGTGTGCACAATTATTTATACAGCGACCTTCTTTTTTTTGGGGGGGGGGGGGGGATGACACATTTTGTATGGTCTGAAACCTAAATTGATACCATCATTGTGAAACTTCTTTTACTGAAGTTAGCAGAGAAGTGACATTACAAAAGTTCTGTCAATTGCAAGTCATGATCTACCGGTAATTGTGTTTTCCATTGTATTTTAATCGGCTACATGTAAGTCATCTCGGAACATTTCTCCCCCCAAATTGTGTCTTATGGGTACTACTAAAAACTTGTACTGAACTTTTAAATAAACTCTTAATCGTTTTCTAACTGATTCAATAACAAACAAGCGTTAATTAACACTTAGCCGGCCAGTCACATTCGAAGATAGGAAATTTGGCAAACTGTGCTGCCCTTTTGTTTAAAGACCATTGAGTGCCTTTCGATTTATTGCATTGTAATGGGAGGGGTGGGGGGAAGGGGGGAGGGGGGAACAACATTTTTCGATTCTATAATGGCTTTCTTTGCACACTCTTCATTCATAAAACTGCATAGGAAAATTTGTGACTTGTGTTAGGTTTTTCTGTTGTTGCAAGTACGTAACCGGAGTCCCAAAAAATTACCATTCCTATACTAAATTTCATATATTGTCTAGTAAATGTTTCATATTCATGTCACCATTTTGATTGTTTTAAAAAAAATTAAAGTAATGTTGTAAACTGCACTACTTCTAAATGTGTTTATTAATCAAGAATTTAATTACATAATGTGCAAGTTAGGAAGGATATATAATAAAGTTTGGAAAAAAATGTTTAAATTAATGGATGACTGTCAAATTGTTTTGTCTTTGTGTGTCTTGTCACTGCCAAATGATAAGGTCTCGCCCTCCCTGTCTGTGCCCCTATGTTATGTTACAAATCATATACATGTAAGTGATAAACAGCAACAACATGAGTAGTATACATGAAGAACATCCATTACTTTGATTGATAGTATTTTAAAACTTTTGTTGAAATTTTATTTTAACAAATATATTCCAAATACAAAGCACACGATTGTCATTTTCAAATTCCACATTAAGAACAAAATGTATATATTATGCTGAAGACAAAACAAGTATTCTTTAACCCATAGTAAATGATCACATCATGTCTAATACAAGACTTGTTAATCCCTATCATTTTGATATAAAAATTTCGTGGTCCATACGATAACCAAGATTGCTGAGTTTAAAAATTAACGTTAAAAAAATTTCAATATCCCGTTGCATCACCAATCCTGCCTATTGAAATGTGAGAACGTGACGTTGACTTTATAAGCTGAAATTAATTTCTATAGGCATTGCAGAATGGTGTTAAAAGTGCCCTTTTTTGCCATCGTATTTATATACCCTTTTGGCGGAAAGTGAAAGACCTGTCACTCGATAGGAAAAAGCTCGTGATTCCTCAAAAAGCTTTTAACAAGTATGTTGCCTGGATTCCAAGCTAAATGAGACGACAAAAGTGGTGGATGGGGGGGGGGGGGGTATAAGGGCATGCTCCCCGGCTAAACCCAACCTGTCATAATGTGTACTCCCAAGGCTATGTTTACTGCCCCCCCCCCTCCCCGGCAAGAGAATTCTAAATTCACCACTAGTCAATGTTCATTTATTTTGTCGGTTTAAAAAATATATATAGACTGACATACACCGGAGAGGGGGGGGGGGTGGGTAATCATATATTAAGACATACGGGGGTGTGCCGTTCTAATGGGTCACATTTCCACAAACATGGGGCCGGTTTTTCAAAATTTCAAAAATTTAGAAAATTGTTAAAAATTGTCTTTACTTCTAAGAAACGTCCCCCCAAATGGCCCTTAAAAATGGATAGGGGTTTCGAGGCTTGAGTGGCACACCGCCGTCCAAACCATGAGTACCCCACCCCGGGATATACACGTACTTTTTCCACGCATTGCTATCTTGGATAAATATAAAATGATTCCAGCATGAGGAAAACTGCGTCATAAATTGGAAGAGAGATACACTCTTATTTCCACGGCGTCAAATTTCACTCTAAATGGCGTCAGCTGGGAGTCAACTCTATTCCTAGTTAAAGTGACACGGATTCCGAATCAATTTGACTCGGATTGTGTGGCATCAGCTGAGAATTGACTCAATTCATAGTCAAGATGACTTCTTTTCCGTGTCACTCTAACTAGGAATAGAGCTGACTCCCAGCTGACGCCATTTAGAGTGAAATTTGACGCTGTGGAAATAAGAGTGTACGGATCTGGAAACGATGGATCATTCCATCCGGGATTTGCGCCCCCCCCCTTCCCATCAGGGGAAAAATAGACGCGATTGACGCTTAAAGGTCTCAATAAAAATCACCTAATCGCAGAGACTTTCATAATGAAGGAAAAGAAAAGAAAAGATTATTACACAGTCTTAACAGCCCTGTTCCTCACTTCTTGAGCAAACATTACGTCATGTTACATAATCCAAACATATTTCTATTTCTTTAAATAGGGTATTGGCAACACCGTTAATTGAGTCGATTACTTGAAAGTCTTTCCGATCGTGTTATACTTCAACTACGTAACAAAAACGGGGATGGGGAAAAGAATTTCATTAAATTTCTTCGTCTTTTTTCTTCATGAATCAACGATCTCGATCGTGACTTGCCGAAATGTCGATCCCGTGGCCGAAGTGCTGCGCGACGTCGAGCTGCTCTCCGTCCCAATCTGCCCGATCACGTCCCTGAACAGGTTGTCCATGGACCCTACCCCGGAGCTCCGGGTATCAGCCGAGCTGTTCGTCCTCAGTCTCGACGAGGTCGTTGACGTCGACGTCTGCTGCTGTTTTCTCTTGCGCCGTTTATCATCCGATTTTGGCGTCGAAAGCGTCGACGATGAGGACAGCGGCACCAACGCCATGGAGGTCGGCTTGTTTTTCGTTGGTTTCTTGAAGGATTTCTTGAAGATAGTCGACTCGACTCTCAGGTAGAGATAGTTTAGAATTTCTTCCTGCAACTGTACGATGGAGAATTTCGATTCGGTATTTTAGAATTTTGTACAGGAATTTGGTACTGACAAGGAAACATTGAAACACGAATGGCATTTTTGGATGTACAAGTGTGTTATCGCAAAAGAAAAAAAAAATGTACATATTACCAAGTTATATTAATTCTCTCGTTAGCATCTGTCTAATTTTTGATATCATCTCGTTGCAAAAATATATTCATCTTTGCGTGTCGGTATTATAGTCGTACTAGCTATGAGGTGTTTTTTTTTGTTGGGGGGGGGGGCAAATTAAACTAGCCCGTGAAACCATTAAATAACCCAAGTATGCAACCAAGATTATAGTCCTGTAGAAATTTTTCAGACCTGGAAAAGTTGATAAGTACAAGGTTTTTTTGTTGATTTGTGTTCTAGATGGGTATTGAAGAAAATTCAGCTTGGTTGCCAGCTCGGCAACCTTGAGCAACTTTTTTTATAGCCTAATTAGCATAATCATCTAATCATCATAATTATGTGCAATATGTGATAGTGTTGCTAATCTCAATCCAGGAAGCCTGAAAACAAGGGTAATACG